CAGTCTCTTCTTGTAGTGTTATACTAAAATAGCTTAATACTGAAAGAATTTCAGAGAAATGTCTTGCAGTGTTAATTTTTCAAAACACTTTGTATACAGCAGTTTTTAAAGTAATTCTGATGTAACTTAAAGTTATTTAAGTAGTTAACCTTGATTTCTGTTTTTTAAGGATCCACCAATGGCAGTGACCCTTGGACTGCGAATGGAAGAAATGATTTTTAATCTTGCTGACACACATTTATTTTTTAATGATTTAGAGGTAAGAATCAAAGGAACATAAACGCCATTACACCTGGATTTTTAAACATAATGGTTTTGCTGTGCATTAGTGTCTGTTGTGCGTGACATATTCTGCCTCTCTAGACTTTGGGTTTGTCATACTCTAATCAGAGAGAGGTTAGCCAGGTGACAGCAACTTCCTGTGCCACCAGAGTCCTTCCATGAAACTTGGGTGAGAGAGGGAATCTGCAAACTACCCTTTCCTCTCTTTGTCCTGTGGCCATCTTTTCAGTTTCCATGGATTTAGAGCTGTCTCCAGCCATTTCCAGGAGGCGGACATATGTGCCTCCCATTCTTTCTCTTGAAGTTGTCCACATTTGCTTTCAGTGGGTGCCATTGTCTGACCACAAGAGACTGTTCTCTTCACATACCTGAGTAGCCTGTTGGCAACAGATCCCCCTTTCTTACTGAAAGGTAGAATATTCTTCATTTATTTACCTCAAAGAGTGCAGCATCAGAGAACTGGGACTATGATAGATGTACTCATCAGTGATGTCTCTTTGCGAGGTAACCAGACAACCACATGTTTTGTCACAATGTACCCAGGGTGTGCAATTTGATGTCTGGTCAGAAAAGGGAGAGAACTCTTCCTAGGGAGTGACCACTGTGACAGATGAACTGCTGCAGAGACAGCGGTCCAGGAGGCACGCTTCTCAGCTGGCCTTCACAGACTTTTCATTTCACTCTGGAAGTCCGGATCTGTTAACGTGGCAAGTGACAGTCTTACAACATTGTGTGTCAAGAGACAGGGGGTGAAAAACAGTTCTCTAAACTATGGGCTTTTCAGACCTTCCCCTGCTCTAAATCAGTTGCTTTCTTACTCAGAGTGGATCCCAGAGTTCCCTCCGTGGACAGATATTTTGTACTAATGGCAGTTGGAAGACTTTGAAATTTTGTTTAAAATGCCAGAGAAAGGTCTCTGGTGAGCGAATAAAAAAATGAGGATAAATGAAATTTATTTAATTTCCTTTCACTGGGAGGTTGATTTCTCTAATGTGCACTTCTTTTATTCCTTCATCAACTGTAGGCAATAAGAAAAGCAGAATGTACGAGGCTGTGGTTGTTTTTGTTATTCCTTGCAGATCTCATTTATTCTTAGCTCTTTTTAAGTCAAGAAACTGGGATCTACTTCACCCTATACGTGAGCTGCACTTCCTCCTTCCAGCAGCAGAAACATAAGAAAGTAAAGCCCTGGACATGCCTTCACCAGTCAGATTTTTACTGCCATCCTAGTGAGTCATCACTTGACAATGCAAGTGCATTCGATGAATGTTCTCCTGCTGGTGCCCCGTACCGGTGATAGATTCCAAATGATTTTTCCAAAGCGTTGCTTATATTTCTTTTTAGCAGACCTTTGCCCCTGCGTGTTCAGATTTTATTTGGCACTCAATGAACTTCAAGCCATTTGGTAGCATATGCCCAGTTTTCTTCAATCTTGTGTTGAGTTCAAGTGGAAGAGTTCAACAAAATGGAGCTTTGCCCTCTTTCCATACCTCTTTATTCTTGCTTATGGCCACTGAAGTTTCATTCCTTTCTCTCATTATTTATTTTCTTTGTAGATCTCAGGTTCAGCTGTCATAGGAGGATCATCACATTTTGTATGTGCTTCATAAGGTGGTTTTAATATCCTGTCCAAAAATTCATACTCCAGCTCATTCCAGAGCTTGAACAGTATCCAAACAGTTTTCAGTTTTAGATAAATAAAAAAATACTACTTGGGGACTGTCTTGGAGAATCTCGTAACTAAATCAGTTTGATTTGATTAAAACTAGTTTCTATGTGCAATTAAGTATTTTCTAGCTTAGAATTCATCTTTGTTTCAAAACCAACTCTCTTATAAGATTACCAAAATTCCAAACTTCTTGTTCTGAAATGAGTTGTATGCACACATTCTGGGATATGCAAGGCAACCAACGAGTTTCTGTCTTCTTAGCTAATAAGATGTAATTGCACAGCATCCTGTGCCAAAGTACATAGAGGCATCCTTTAATATGCAGATGGTTAAATCTGTTTAAATATGTTTGCAGAGCACATGGCCATTACTGAATAGTACAGTGCATCTGCATGATGACTGTGTAATGAATTCTGAGAATTCCCCAATTCTGACTGGGGATCTCTCTCTCATCCCTCCCCCCCCTCTCCATCTCTCTTTTTCTGCCTTCCTCTCTCCATTCTCCCCCAGGAGACGGGAGGTGAGTGCTGAGCTGCTGATGGTCATGGCCATCGAGACAAAAGACCTTCGGTTCTTACTGGAGGAAGTGAGATAGGCCTTTATTCGCTAAACAGATTACTTATCCTTTCATCATCTCACTTTTTTAATGCTGAGCCATCGGGTCCCTTACCTTCTGTCTTGCTTTCATCTTCATCCCACACTAAACCTTGTGGCTCCAGACATGACAACTGTAATGTATTAATGAACCTATATTCCTGTAATACTGACTCCAGTCACTACGTCCTTTAAGCTCTCTTTTTTCCCTGTCTTTCTTGGTTGCAAACACCACATACCAGGGTCTAGTAATAACAACCAAGTTATTGAAAGCTATCACATACAAAAATAAAGTTTTCCTTCCTCTATGCAAATCTGTCTCACTACAATGACTGCTGATGCAGAAATTCCGATCTGCTGAGACATTCCCCGCTGACCCAGTAACCCATGTTCTAATCAGCCAAGCTGCACTTTTATTTCAGGCTAGGCTGTTCTCCAGCTATTTCATTCTCAGTGTATAAATTTTAGTTAGCTTGAGAAGTATCGCTTGGGAGGGCAGTTGGTGTTTTGCCATGAAAATAGGAGTCCGGTGCTCTAGAAAGTTCATGTGCTTAAACAATGCGTAGAGATGGGACTTGGTTCTGTAATAATATCCAGACTAAGGCATTCTGTTCTCAACCAGGTAAGGAATTAAGTGAACTTTTTCTCACTATCTCAGCATTAATTTGAAGACAGCTTTTAAAAATGTTGGTAGGGCATACTATGCACACAAAAGACCCAATTTCTACAAATTGCAAGCAGGAATTTGGACAAGAATCTTTCAACTCCATTATCCCCCTCCACTCGCAGGACGATGAAGAAAAAAGAGTATTTATTTCAAACAAACTGAACTACATCACCATTTTTATGATACCATATTTTACCATATTTTAAATAAGATTTTGTCATCTTTTATTTTTCTCATTAGAAATGAAAATGAGAAATAAAAAATAGGATTTAAATAAGTCTTGGAATGTGTGAGGCAGGTCAAACTAGTTTTAACAGAAAGTGAAGCATATACATAAAAGGGGGTTCTGTATAGCCTGAGAAAGCATAGTGCCGAATATCCCCTCAGTAATAACATTTTTGTGTTCAGTGTGGTGAGTCAGTGTTTTTACTGGATAATGAAATTACTGTCCATTCCAGGAGGATTATTTTTGTGGATGATTTGTTGATTCTGTACTCTCAAATTTTCAGGCTTTAAAAATTGCTGCAAAGAATTGACTGCACTCAGATATAATTTAAATTAGTATTGCTTCAAGCAAAAGCCAGCTATTGTACCTAGATTCCTTTCCTGTACTTTTAGTTATAGGAAATATATTTTAGCTTTCTTAGTTTTGACCTTGCACTGACAGTGAGCCGCTGTGACTTTAGTGTAGCCAGTACTGTGGCTGATGTGAAAAGTATTTCACCTTAACGTTTAAAGTCACAGACAGCTTGCTTGCTTTCCTTCCTCCCTGCAACCATTTGGTCTCTTTTACAAGCAAACTCAGATCTAGTGTTGTGCCACCAGATTCCCGTTTCTTTTGGGAAAAGTAGAGAACTATGTCAAATCAGATCAACCAGTCTGCTTTTTCTTTTTTTTTTTTTTTTCCGCAGAAAATTTTTTTACACCATATAAGTGAATTTGTAAAATGTAAGCATTTTAGTTGAAGTAGATAAGTAAAGGAGAAAACAAGGTAAAGTAAAGCAAGGAGTGGTGGGCGCATGAGTTTGTTGTTGGTCAGCAAACGTGTATTGCCGGTATGGTGAGGAGGTGAGCTGTAGATCTGAGAGGAGAAGAGGAAGGGAGAAAAGGAGGAAGCTGGAGAGTGCTGTTGGGTTTGATCCTCTTATGCGGCTGGAAACTTAAGAACCTTCCTGCAGGGACAAGGGGCAAGGAATCAGAAAACTGCACGTTCTGCTCATCTCCTGTTCCTGGAGTTAGTGAACAAACTGTGAGATAAAAAAATAAATGTAAACAACTGAGCCTTTGCCACCCACTCATATTTAACTTAATAATGAAATTATTAATTTCATTAATAATGAAATATTAATTATTTCCTTATTAACTTAATGATGAAATTTTCAAGGCTGGAATAGTGTAGCTGAAAGGCTTAATAAAACCCAAACGGCAGCAGACACTCCTTCTTATCCATCAGGGCTTCTGTGTGCCCTCCATTTAATTACTGCACCTTCAAATCCACAGGACTGATTTTTAAACTTTTAAAATTATCTTATGCTCTGACCAGTTCCAGGGAAATCTGTGAAGGTGATTAGGAAGCCAGATGTTGCTCAGATATTGCAAAATATAGAGTTAGAATTTGTCCCAGTGGGGCTTTTTGTCTGATTTTTCAGTTCCTGTCCTACACTGGGTGGAGTATAGTTGCATTTTTTTTCTGGAGTGTAAATAATAAATAAGGATAAAGAAACGAATCTTTTATTTTGGCTGCCACTTCCCCTTTTCTTTCTCTTTTCATCTGCTGTTTACATCCAAAAGCAGCTTCTTTCAAATACTCTACAGCTTAAGATAATCTCAGACAGAACCAAAAAAATTTATTTCTCCAGTGGGGAGAAGAATACTTCATTTCTGTTCCTTGAATGCAGCTTTTTCATGCCTTTCTTAATGGATTAAGCCAGATTAGCTGAGTTGGGCCACTCATTCTTTTAGTCTTGACATAAAATTTTAAAATATGATTGCTTCTACAATGCAATGAAATTATGTATTTGAAAATGAAATAATATGTATTTATTTTATACAAAAATGGCCAGTTTATATTTTTAACAACTTCATGTGGGTAAAAGTTTTCATTCAGTGCAAGGCAAACAGAAAGAAGAAATGGTAATTCCCCAAATTCACATTCTAGGAACTTGTGGCATACACATTGGAAATCACTCCCCTGTTCAGATTTATCTGTTATCTGGACAACTTTTAGCACTGGTATGAAACTGAGATTGGAAACTTAGAACTGCGTACTTCTGCATGTCACAGAGAGTCTGAATTAAGTGCTGCTTGTCAGCAACTTTATTTGAAGTAGATGACTCAGATGACTCCTTTGAAGCACAGAACGCTGCATTTCAAAAGCTCAGCCTCATTTTGTCTTAGTGATGAGATAATTATCTGAAAACATTAGTTGAGTCATTTTTAAATAGGTCCTTGAACCTTTTCATAAATTATATTAGGATTACGTTAACAACAGCTATTTTAAATATAAAAAAGTAAAGTCTCTGGAGACCAAATTTCAGGTGTCTCTTTGGGTTGTTAAGTCTAGCAAGTACAGAAAATGGTAATATTGAATGCCCTGTTCATCTTTACTATTGCAGAATGGCTTACTTATTTAATTGTGCTTCCCCTGCATTTTCCTATCTTTCTGCTGTAACCACTGTGCAGAAAAGGATATTTGATAGCTATCCAACTATAAAAACAGCTTGGAGGGGAGTTCAGTTTTCCAGTGCACCTCAGTTCCCTGGAGTTACTTCCATCCCTTCCGAAACCAGGAAATAATGAAGTTCTCCAGGACTGCTTGATTATCTGTGATTTTCCAGCCAAAGGGATTTGGATAAATCAAGAAAAGAATCTGATAAGCATCCAAACTCCTAGAGACTAAACAGAAGTTACATGCCTGTTGAGGTTCATCATCACTAGCTTTTAGGAAATGGGGAAATGGGGAAATGGGTGATTTTGGAATACTGGTATGCTAAAGACACTATAAACGAGACTTGTAATTGTTGATGTTTTTCAATTAAAATAATTTTAATCTAAAATCACACTAAAATTACATATCGCTTTTCTAAAGGCCTATTTTAACTAATCATTTATACAGTGTAGAAGGAGTTGAAGGTTGTATCGTTTTAAAGAAATTGATGGTGATAGGAAGCTGTAAGTGTACATATGCTGCCATCTCCTGGTGCAGTTAGTGGCCCGCACCAATCATTTCTTCAACTTCTGTACTAAGCATATGGTGAGCATACTCTCTTATAAGCTAATTCATAATTTGATTTATTTTTTTTTTCAACAGGAGTGTGATCAAGTTCATATAGATGATGTTTCTTCTGATGATAATGGACAAGACCTAAGGTAAGATACAGCATTTTTTCTTTTTTTTTTTTTTTTAATTCAAAGATTAAATAAATTGAGCATTTACAGGAATACATTGTATTTATTTTTACTGTATTTTGGGTGTTTGCAGTACCTACAGTTTTGCAACTGATGGCTTCCATGCAGCTGCAAGTAGTGCAAACCTTTGTCTGCCAACAGGTGTAAGAGGAGGGGTTGACTGGATGAGGAAGCTGGCTTTCCGTTACAGAAGAGTAAAAGAGTTGTATAATACTTACAAGAACAACATAGGAGGTGAGTTTAATTGTCAAAACCAATTTAGAATGCTGCGCAGGTTAAACCGCATGGCGATGCACTCCCACCGAGGGAATGTGCCTTGGAAGCCACAGAGTGAATGGAAAGTGATGTGACTGGACCTTGGGCTACTGAAAGCTATTGACTGGAATGGCAGAGCCAACATTGTGCTGTTGTGCAGGAGAACCAGAGATGGGGAAACTGAGCAGGCTTCCATTTAGCTTCCGCAGAGCCCATTTTTCTCCTTCAGACCCAGCTCACCTCTATCTGCTTTACTGATTTGTTGAGCCACTTTACTTCAAATAGGCTGTTATTCTAGGACAGAGGTTCTGTAGTTTTCACAGCACAAATTGGTAGTGGCTGGCCGTTTCCATCCTACATTTTCATGATCTGATGGGTAACAACACACTGCCTTCTAAACTCTCTGCTGGGTACCTGCTAGTCAATTTTCACCAGTCAATGCAAGAAGACTCTAGCAGTGCCATAGCACTAGTCCCTTTTGTTTACTCTGTAGCTGACAGACTTAATTGTGTTAGCAAGAAATCTGATTCTCATTTGGGCTGAGAGCTTTCCTGTTACTGTTTTCATTCACGGACTCGCTCGTGTCTATGCCAGCAAGCTTGTAGGAAATCAAGTAGCAGAACTGAAAGACTCTGTTCTGGAGAGTCGTGTGTGACTTGAGGCAGTCAGTCCTCTTCTGAGGAGGGGAATATGTTAACTGACTCCCTTGATAAGAGGCTGCAAGAACAGGGAGTACTTACAAGTCTTCAAGCATTGCTACAGCCACAGTTGAGGAAAAGATGAGGCCAACCCAACCAGAAAGGAGTCAAAGTGAACGCTCTCCCATTCTTTTCAACTCATCTGAAATTTATTTCAAAGGAACCTGAAACTCAAAGTAAAGCTCACCTTCAGCAAAACCAGACGGTTTGGTGTTCACTTACTGCAGTCTCTCAGAAATTGGAAAGAGTACTACTAATATGGACAGTGAATTAGTTGTTGCCTTAATCATTTTCTAAACGATGTAAACCTGAAATATATATTTTTCCTTAGAAGTTCAGAGTCTTTACTTGCTGCAGGATGAAGCAATAGAAGAAAAGGATGATAGTAAATGGTTGGCTTTCACTTGCCCTGCCTTGCCTTTCATTGGTGTAATGAATGGAGTTTTTATACATTAAGAATACTTGAAACAGTATTATCCAAATGTTTACTGGGTTTTCTTATCTCTCCTAATCCATCTAAGATTCTACAGCTGTTGCATTTCATAAAACCTTTGACATTAGTAAGAGCTGAAGTCCAAGAGCACAGCATAGGGAAACACACTAAGAGGAACAATCATTGCACAGGCAGAGTGCAGATATGTGGTCCATTGTATTAAGGTTTTTATTCTTTCCCACATATCCTGCTTCTGAAATATATTCCCTCCTTAGTGGGCATCCATCCTCTACTTCTTAACTTGTTTAATAATCTTTTTATCACATATGTATCTATTTATTTCAAAATAGTTGTTAGAAGGCAACAGAAGGCTGGATCAAACTAGATATTTTTAGGTTGCTTCATTTCAAATTTTTGAAGACAGTCATCACCACTTTTTGGGAACATGGAGTGTGAAAGAGAGGAGGGCTACTAAAGGTCATGAAACCTGCTTACCAGCTCTTCCAGGACCAAATCTAAATTTAAAATAGCTTGATTCCAAAGAACTCATGTTTCAATGTTCAATAAGCTGGGTATTTTTTAAAATCTGATCATTCATACCCAAAAGGAGATTTTAAGGACTAACTGAGATATGAGAACATAAGATGTACAGCTGTTTCAGGGCTGTAAATGATATAAAAGGATTTATATCATTACTGTCTACAACAGGACATGAAAAGTAAGCCATCAACAAACAAATGTATTTCCATATGTGTAACCTGAGGTTCCCCTATATACAAGATCACAAGCAGGGCAGTTTTAAACATATGCAGATACTGCAAAGGCAAGTTTATTCTAAAGTCTCTTTTTTTGCATCTCTACCTATGGCATGGATCTCCTTGTTGCTGCCTCTGATGACTAGAGAGTAAGATGCATGTGAGGAGTTGGTTTAAAAAATGTGTATTTCTGAAAGATATACTTGAAACGTAGTAAATAAGTTTATTCAGAAGGCTGAATAAACAAAAACAATCAGATGACTAATTACTAGTATCTACAATACTCTCTGACATTGCTTGATATAGTGGAGTGCAAACAAAGACAGAGAGCAATTTACTCAATTTCAAGATCTAGTAGAATTTAGAATAGAAACAATGACCATAAAATATATATATTCCAGCTAATACAGAATTTAATTTTGTTTTTTCTTTTCTTGCTCTTTTACATAAAAGGCCTCCTGGGTCCCGCTAAGAGAGATGCATGGTTGCAATTAAGAGCGGAGATTGAAGCTCTGACAGACTCCTGGCTAACAAATGCACTTAAATCATTATCAATTATCAGCACAAGGTATGTATTTGAGTCTACTGTAAAAAAGTTTCTAGTTCTGGACTTTTAATGGCTATTTTTTGACATTTTACGTTACAATAATTTAGTGTCTTTGAAGAACAGAACAGGCCTAATATGACTTTTGAATAGGACGTAGGAAAAATTCCACGGAAAGTTATTTCATTTTCAGTGATTCCAGCATTTACTAAAGAGAGTATGAAGTGTCTTCTAAAATGTAATAAGTGTCCCTGTGTACCTTGAAAGAGTATTGTAGAATTCTGAGCCAGCCTTTAATTTATTATCTTCTGGGGCAACATCCTCTGAACTCCACGTCTGTCTGTCCTGTCCTTCAATGTTTGTGCCTATTCGCAGTGCTACCTGAATACTGTATAGATGATCCCAGAACACAAAAACATCTTCCTTCTGTCCTGCCAGACAAGTCACTATGCTTAAGCATATATCTAAGTTTTCAGAAAAACAAAAACCTGTTTTAACTGAGTTAAAAGTCTGGGTTCCCATTAATGAGACATAAAATGTATTGTTCCTTAGAAATAGGAAGCATAGCATGCTGCTGCTCAGTCAGCCATGCAATATGTATCTCATCAGAAATCCTCAAAAATTCTGGTTTTAAACCATAAAATAGAACAATGTTCATTCATCTTACCTTCTGAACATGTCTGGGAACAGACTCAGTGTCAAGTGGAAAGAACGAACTTGGAAAGACATGAAAAACTTACTTTAAATGTAACAACTTTTGCAATATGTTTATCTCTTGTTGTTTATTTAACAGTGTCTTAAGCACCTTGAGAGGAAAAAAAAAGTAGAAAATTTGTGTAAGCCATTCTGTTTAGCTCTGCATTTCTTTCCAAGTTGCTAGTCTTCAAAAAGACATTTGTAATGAAGGCCAGTTGAGCATTGGTGGATGAGTCTGGAAAACTGTTACTCAAGACTGTTAAATAATAGTCCTTTGTCTTGTCTTCAAAGAACTGTACAGCTGTAAATCTTCAGAAGCTACCTGTGAGGCATCTAAACATCACCTCTATGTTGCTGGCAGGAAATTGAGATACATTAAGGCAGAAATAGTAGCCTGAGGTCTTTCTTGGAGTTTGTGGAAGAACCAGGAGGAAATATCACAGCTATTTGCTCTTGGCTCCATGTTCCATGGTCATGCTTATGTTCTAGCCTAAAGTAGCCTGGCTCTGAGTTTTCTGTTGTTTAACTGCTAGCACAACTTCTCCACTCAAGTTTTCATCCTCACCATTTGATGCTAGCTCATTAACATGATTATTCTTATCTCTCCCTCTTCTCAGAAATATTCTTACTCTTGAAACGTGAAGAAAGTGATGTCATTGTGCAGAAATGTGTACTGAATGTTCATTTTCCCTCAAGACAGGAGTAACGAATGATGTTTTCACTTTCTCCTAACACTTTTATTTGGCTGGTAGCTTTCAAAGCATTAGAATGCCTATTTTTAGAGGTAGTTGGTGACCTTAAATGCCTGTAGTTTAGTGAACCCATCTTCAAGAACTTGTTTTATATAAACCACTGTGGAATATTTCCTACAAATCAGGCCTGCATATTTGTTAAGGGATTTTGCCAAAAGCTTTATGTACATTTTTCTGGAATTGAAGGTGCTGAGCAGAACTGCTGTGTGAGTGAAAGTAAATGTTGAGGAATCCTGAATATGGTCTCCACAGCTGGTTCACCTAATCAGCATTTGGGTAATGGTTTTAGACTATTTAAACTTAAACTATTTCTGTCATTTTAGGAGTAACTGTGTAAACGTATTGGTGACAACAACCCAGCTTATCCCAGCACTTGCAAAAGTTCTGCTATACAGCTTAGGAGGAGCTTTTCCTATTGAAAATATTTACAGTGCAACTAAAATAGGTAAGAAAATGATTCTTTCGTCTATTCTGACTATACTGCACTACCAAAATTTTTTTGCCAGTAATGGATGGATTCCAAGCTGCTTCCCTGACACAGTGTTTTAAGATGTAGGCATTGCATATGTTTAGAGGTGTTTATGTCAATAAATTCCAAATTCAGCTTATTTTCAATGATGCCTGAAGGAATAATGGTCCCCATACTGATTAAAAGCCTCACAAACTCCTAAGTGTGGTGCAGAAAACATAAAAGGTGCAGAAAAGAATGAAGAAGAGTGTTTTGTGAATTCAAATCTAAGCAGAATTTCTGTTAAAATAGTCTCGGCTCTGACCTTCAGCTCTATGTAAGCTAGCCCACCACTTCACAAGCCTTTTCTGGAAGCATAGTACGTCAGTGATGGTCATGACAACTGTTACCAACAGAGGCTGTGTTGATGGATGCCACAAGGGCACTTCCCTATTCTGTTGATAACTGTGTACCTCTTGTGTATTACAGTTTGGACATTCATGGGTTTTGGAAATGGTATCCAAAATTTTCTTGTAAACCAAGACAAGTTATCATTCCTGTGGAATCTGACACAGCCTACAATGACTGATAATTTTGGGAGATTTCATGATTTACCAATTATTCATTCAAGAATGCTTAATTTCTATACCTATGACACCTTATATAACATGGAGTGTGACACTTAATTGACAGAAGCGTTACAATATATTTCCTAAGTGATTTTCACAAGTGAAAAAATAAGGCATATTCCAACAGTGCCAGGAAAAACTATTACCTCAGTCATCCTTTAATTAGCTGTAGCTGTCCTCTAGACAGAAATCATAGAATCATAGAATGGT